ATGTTGAGATTCAGCTGTTTTTCTCCATTAAGCATTTGCCTTGGTGCTGTAATCTTTTGATTCATTTCCAAAGCTCTGATAAAGTTGATTCTGATGGTTGTTCCTAGCTTGTTGTAAAGAAAAACTCTTGGAATTCTTTACTCCACCATCTTCAATGATATCAGTTCAATCTCATTAGTTTTTATAATACATATAATCCTGCAAAAGCAACACCAAGATGTAGAACATTTCCATTAACTCTGAAATATTGTCTTGTGCCATTTCCCGGTCTATCTACCATCCTCTATGCTTAGGCAACAATTGACAAACTTTCACTTACTATATATATGATTTTAAATTGTCAGTTTTCGTGTAATAGGATCAGATAATACGTTCTCTTTTATTTCTAGTTTCTTTTGCTCAATATAATATCTTTCGGATATATCCTTGTTTTGCACATATCAGAAGTTTATTTTTCTATTGCCAGGTAGTATTTCATTGCATGGTTATATCATAATGTGTTTACTCTATTTGCCTGTTCGTAATTGTTGGGTAAATTCCAGTTGAGATTTTCTCCACTRTTTTTATTTTATTATTTATGGTGCTGGGAAATGAAACCAGGTATATAGAATGCTAGGCAAGTGCTCTACCACTGAACTACATCACTAACCCTTTTTATTTTACTTTGAGACAGGGTCTCACTAAATTGCCTAGTATAACCTCAAATTTGTAGTCCTGATTATACTGGGATTATAGTTGTGCACTACCATGCCTTGCCTGATTATTGTAGCTTTTAATACATTGTGAAATCAGGGAATGTGAGTCTTTCAACTTTTGTTTTTTATTTTTAAAATTGTCTTGTTTTAATTCCTTTGCATTTTCTATAAATTTTATCTTACTTTATTTTTTTGGTGTTTGGGATTGAATTCTTAGCCTTGCCTATTCTAGGTACATGCTTTATCACTGTAATATACCCTCAGCGATGGGGGGTCGATGTCAGCGTCTCATGGGGGGTTCTTCTTCCTGCCAAGGGAATCTAAGCCATCCTAAAACTTAAGATCTTAAATAATTAGTGAATAACAAAACATAAATACTTGGAAACATATTTACAAAAAGCAAAGCCCCTGATCTAGTCTACTTGGGTTCTGGAACTAGACAGAGATGGCTCCAGTTGTTTATTTAAGAGGGAACATCAAAGGCAGGGGATAAAGTTTCAAGGGCAGAGTGTTGCTTTGTGTTGATTTGCAGTCAGCAGATTGATTGACATCTGGTCAGGTCACACCCATCTCAGGTGCTGTGTGGGATCTTTGGCAGAGCTTGAGAGGGATGTTCACCTGCATCAGGCAGTTAATCCCTGTGTGTGTGGGGATGCCATGGGAAGTTCCCAATGCCAGACTTATTCCCTCATGAGGTTACTATGTACAACAGTCCACACACAGCCCATGGACAGCTTGTGAAACTCAGCCTCCATATAAAATTTAGAATAAACTTCAGAGTTCTTAAAAAAAAGATGCTACTATGGTAGCATAGTAAGATGCTACTATGGATTTGGATTGCATGAAACCTAAAGATCAGTTTGGGAAGAATTGATATTTTAACAATATCGAGTTTTCTAACCTGCAAACATAGCATAGCTCTCCTTGTTATTTAGGTTTTTKATTTATTTCATCAGTGTTTTGTAATTATCACATACATATCCTGAAGATTTTTTATTCAATTTATTCACAGGTATTTCATGATTACTGGGGATATTGTTAGTGGCACTGTGGTTTTAAAATTTTGATTTCTGCCAGATGCCATGATGTACCTGTAGTTCCAGCTGCTTGGGAGACTGAGGTGGGAGGATTACTTGAGCCCAGAAATTTGAGACTAGCCTGGGCATCAGGCTAGTCTTTTTTTTTTTTTTTTTTTTTTTTTTTTTTTTTTTTTTTTTTTTAATAAGCCTCTACTGACTAAGCTATATTCTCAGCCCTGATCTGTAATCTTTTTTTTTAATATTTTATTTACATTTTACTTTTTGGCAGACACAACATCTTTGTTTGTATGTGGTGCTGAGGATCGAACCCGGGCCACATCCATGCCAGAGGAGCACGCTACTGCTTGAGCCACATCCCCAGCCCTGCAAGATCACATCTTAAAACTAATTAACTAATTAACCAATTCATTCATTCATTTTCCTTTTTTTTTTCTTTTTTTCCCCTGATATGGGGCCTGAACCCAGGGAAACTCTACCACTAAGCTACATCCCCAGTCCCTTTTATTTTTTAAGACAGGATCTCTCTAAATTGCCAAGGCTGGCCTTGAACTTGTGAAAGCCTTGCTGACAAACTTGCTCCTAATTTAATTTGCCAAACCATCAGAATGATATTTTCAAGATGTAAATCAACTACGTATAATGGCACATGTCTGTAATCCAAGTGACTCTCAAGGCTAAGGCAGGAGGGTTGCAAGTTCAAGGGCAGCCTCAGCAATTTAGTCTCAGCAAAGTACTTTAAAAAGTAAATCAGATCAAGGTCTTTTCTTGCTTAAAATTCTCCAGTAATTCCTCATCATATTAGAAGAAAATTTAAACTCTTTGCTAAGGGTCTATATGCCCCCACCGTATGACCTTGCCCTACCTACTGCTGACTTCTCAAAATTCTCTTACCACTATTCATTGTGTTTTAGCCACAATGACTTTTTTTTTTTTTTTTTTTTTACTGTTTAAGGATATCAAACTTCTACTGTAATTGGGCCTTTGCAATCATTGTCTGAAACACTGCATGCAAATCTTCAAATTGCTGTTATTCAGATTTCTGTGTAAATGTGTTTCTCAGCTTGGCCTTCTCCTAAGTATTTCCCCATCCCCTTCAATCAATCTTCTTCAAGGTACTTATAACTGCTTTTTCCCTTCTCCTCCTCCTCCTCTTCCTCCTCCTCCTTCTTCTCTCTCTCTCTCTCTCTCTCTCTCTTTTTTTTGGTACCAGGTCTGAACCCTGGCACTTAACAACTGAGTCATATCCCTAGTCTTTTTTATTTTTTTGAGACGGGGTCTCCCTAAATTGTTTAGGGCCTTGCTAAGTTGCTGAGACTGGTCTTGAACTTGCAGTCCCTACCTCAGCTGAAATTACAGGCTGTGACACTGTGGATGGCCTTATAACTGCTTTTTAAAAAAATATATATATATATTTTAATTGTAAATGGATCTTTTATTTATTTTTTTATTTATATGTGGTGCTGAGGATCGAACCCAGGGCCTCATACATAACAGGCAAGTGCTTTACCACTGAGCTACAACTCTAGCCCCATAACTGCTTTTAATTAATAGGTTTGTTTTGTCTTCTGCCTCCCCCACTGTTATGCAAGATATAGACTTGTAGAGATTTTTCTTCTGTTGTTCATTTGTATTCCTAAGGTTTAAAACATATAAGAGCTGTTCAGAAAATATTGGTTGAGACTCAGGAGTCTGAGGCAGGATCACAAGTTCAAAGTCAGCCTCAGCAATTTAGGGAGACCCTGACCGAAAATAAAAAATCAAAAGGGCTGTGGGTGTAGCTCAGTGGTAAAGCATCCCTGGATTCTGATACCAAAAAGAAAGAAAAAAAAGGAAAGAAAGAAAAAGAAAATACTGGTTGAATGAATGAGTGGACGAGTGAATTTATTTATTTATTTTTTTGGTACTGTGAATTGAACCCAGGTGCAATACCACTGAGCTACACCCCTATGTCTCTCCCTTTTCGTACCTGGGGATTAAATATAAGGGTRCTTAACCACTAAGCTACATCCCGAGTCCTTTCGATTTTTTATTTTCAGACAGGGTCTCGCTAATTTGCTTAGGGTCTTGCTAAATTGYTGAGGCTGGCTTTGAATTTTCTATCCTCCTTGCCTCATCCTGCCGAGTGGCTGGGATTACAGGTGTGTACCACCGTGCCCAGCCTGATTCCTTTTTAAATTTTCATTTTGAGACAGGGTCTAACTTAGTTGCCCAGGCTGGCCGCAAACTTGTGATCTTGAACACATGCCTGTAAACTCAGGGACTCCGGAAACCGAGTCGGGAGCTTCCAAATTCCAGGCTAACCTCAGGAAATTAGCGAGGCCCTAAGCAATTTAGGGTGATCCTGTCACAAAATAAAATAAAAAGGGGCTGGGGATGGAACTCAGTGGTAAAGCACCTTTGGGTTCAATCTCCAATACAAAAAAAAAAAAAACAGAACAAAACAAACTTTGTGATCCTTTTGCCTCATTCTCATCAGTAGCTGGGATTACTGGTTGGGCTAGCACTATCTCTCTATAAAGAATGACTGACTTTTCTGTAATTAGCTCATGGAGTTTATCACTGGCTATCTACCCCCGCCCCCATTTAGTTGCTATTATATATCCAACTCAATTCTACTACAGAGGCATCTTGTTTGCCCTACTAATTTCTATATCTCTGGAGCCTAGATCTATTCTTGGCCTATAATTAAGGTGTTGTCAGTAACTATTTGTTAAATAAATGAAAGGCTGAGACAACGAATTCAATTTTTAAAGATCTTAACATCTAGAGAGGAGAGAAACACTATTATAAAGAGAATAAGCAAGCAACTGTGAAAGTTCCAGAGTAATTGAGATAAGGAACTGACTGATGGGTCTCAATTTTTAAGCCAGGCACTTTAAGGTTGGAACTGTGCTTTGAGGCATGCAAGTGGGTTGAGAGCAGACACTAAAAAAAATTTCACACATGGCACATAACTTAGTATCCAGCAATTTATAGGCGTTCGGTAAATTCTCAAAGACTAATTGCTTGGCACTATTTCTGGAAATAATCAGATTGATGCTAGAGTTTCCGCTAACCTCTTCGGTTGTATACGAACCACTGGACTACATTTCCCAGCATGCATTAACACCACTGTGGTCGCGTTGAAAAGTGGACTACAACTCCCGGCATGCCGTGCAGGCGAGGACTACACGCCCCAGCAAGCCGGGAAAAGGGCCTATCAGGAGCGGGAGGGGCTCGGGAGCCGGTTTGACGGAAGGAGCGGCGGCGACCGAGGAGGCGGAGGAGGTGGAGGAGGAGGAGGAGGAGGAGGATGGAGGCAGTAGTGTTCGTCTTCTCGCTCCTCGATTGTTGCGCGCTCATTTTCCTCTCAGTCTACTTCGTATCCTTGCCTGAGGCGGGCGGAGGGGGACCTGGGGCCCGCCGCCTGAGGGACCGGGCTGAGGGTGGGCCCGGTGGGCACCAGGGCAGGTCTGTGAGGGAGGTGCCCGGCGGCGGTCTCGGGTTCTCGGGGCACTGGCCTGGCCAGAATGAGGCGTGGGCTTCCAGGACCGGGAAGGGAGCCCCGCTGCCGTTCGGTGCCCTGACCCCACCGCCTGCCCTCCCTGGGGGGTCCGAGCGGGCCTTGCTCCTGGCGCACCCCGGCCTGGCCATCGCGCCCTCCCACTGCAGTACCCGCGACTGGCCCTGCCCTGAGCGACGGCTGGCTCTTGGCCTCCCTTTTGGCCCTCGGGAGAAAAAGGTTCCCTTTTTCTTGGGGAGCCCCGGCGCCATTCCCTTTTTTAGTATGTCGGAGGCCCAGGGGCGGTCTCTCGCGGACAGTCGGACTCTGGGACGATCCGCGCGATTTGCCGCCTCTTGTCTTCCCCAGGGCTACAGCCGGGCTGCCCGCCCCTTTGTTCTTGCTGGCTTCAGTGCTTGTGGGGACCTTGTACTTCCAGGAGTTAACTCCTGAAACTGGCGACGTGCGTCGTTCACAATGCCGTTTTTTATTGAGTGTTGGGAAGGAGTATTTAAAAAACCATCTGTAGGGTGCAGTTGTGACTCTGGTAGAGCGCTCGCCTAGCACGAGTGAGGCATTGGGTTCCATCCTCAGCACCACATAAAAATAAAATAATAATATCGTGTCGACTCACAACTTAAAAAAAAAGAAAAGAAAGAAATCTGCAGTGAATATTTTGGTTGACCCTGACAGTTGAAGACTGTAAATTCAGTGACTACATGTGATGTAGTTTCCAGTAGTTTCTCAACTTTACATTTTTTCTGTCAGTCCATGTTAAACTCCAGTATGTTACACTATTTAAATTGTGCATTCCAACCAGTAAATGGTTGTTCAGCAGCATAGCACTGTACTATTTGTGTAGGGTACAGTGCTTCCCTGTTCTTAAAGAAAACTTTTTATTTTCACTTTTTAAATAATAATAATTATTATTATTATGGTGATTGAACCCAGGGGTGCTTTACCACGGAGCTACATCTCCAGTCCTTTTTATTTTTTTTTTAAAA